CAAAGTGCTCTCTTGATATTCATTCAGGCATGATTTTAATAATTTTAATATTTCATTGCATTTAATTCTCTAGGCGTTACATGCTGTAGTCATAAGTGTATTCTCAAATTATAATTTTGTAAATTTTTCGTTTCGTTTGAAATCAATTGAAGCCAAAGTCTCTTTCTCAATGTGCTTCGTAATTTAACTTTTAGGTTTTAATTTGTGTGCACAACTCATTGTTCATTTATTGAAAGAAATCATTCAGATCTGTCTTTATTGCCAATTTTGTATGATAATTATTAATCGTTACCTATATTTTTTATTTTCTAATCATATTGTATTGGTCTTGTTCATTTATAGGAGTTTATAGATTTAAAGATATTTAAATAAGCGTTATCATGAGGTAGTCAGTACCTGGGTAGGCACTTGAYTATTATACATTTATACTGTGTGAACCTCCTCCCCTCCCCTCAATATTCAATATCATCATAATTGACATAATTTTTAAGCAGTAATCTTAGTATTTATACGTTTGTTATAAATTAGATGAATTAATTTTTACAAGTTAGTGGTGATGGTGATTAGTATATATAGGTGTTATTTAGGGATTTGTGTGTTAATACATGATGTTATGTTTGACTGCCCAGCCTTATTGGGCATGCTTATGTAAATGTATGTAATCATGTTGGTTGTAGGTACCTATTATAATATTATATAATTTATTTATTTAAGTATTATATTTCTGGTTTWGTGAAAAGTTAGTTCGAAACCTATTCCGTTTCGAAAATGTGGTTAAAATTCATAACTCTTAAAACTCTCAAATTGTGACTTCCGGTTACTAATTGATGAGGAGTAATTGTAGATATCACGACAGAGGGTCTTAGCAGTTTTGCATTGCTTTGGTACCTAGGTTTTACCCTCAGAACTAGTACACAAGTGTAAACTGAGAGCCCTAATGCATGATTATTATAGGTATAAGTTCTCTCATGTAAACTATGGCATACCTACCYATAAACTTTTGAATAAATATTCCCAAAACATTCAGGTGCCTAAATGTCAAATTTTGTGCTCATTTACTAACTACTAAACTTATGCCAAAACTACGGATATAGATACTATATCCGTGTCTGAACTAATGATTTTCAACTTTTTAAGTAATAGGGAGAGACTTTTTGCCCAGATGCTCAGTAAACGAGCGGAGCGAAGGCGAACGTTAATCAGTAAGTCCGAGATCAATAACAATAACAAATTACAATTCATTGAACAAACCTGTTTTTTATTCTTTTCACCTTCACCATCATCTTGCCCAGTACCTTGCTTTCCACGGCTATTGGCCAAACTGTCAACATTTGGCCGGTCGATTGGCAGTATTGCTGTGGTAGAGTTCACTTGGAGGTTAACATATGTTTTTAATTTCATAATCATAACGTCCTGTCCAGACGTGTCCTGGCATTTGCCATTTGGCAATATTGCCAATTACCATTATCTTTAGTTTACATTTGGTCAGCGGTTCTGCCGCGTTTGAGTTACTGTTTGTAGGTGATAAACCGTTTTTCTCGTATTTGAGCTTTTCAGCTTTGAGCATCGATCMAATTTTACATCATTACATAATATTTTATTAAAATGACAGAACCGTCCCCTAAGAAGTCAAAAATGTCGTCGCTGAGTCAGCTCAAGAATTTTACTGTCGTTGTGGCTGACAMGGGAGATTTTGAAAGTACGTATCTAATAAGTAATTACCTAACCGGTATTCTAGTATTCTACGACAGAAATACCTATAATAATATAATATATCAATAATTGTTATTGTGTTAAACGTTTACACCCTACTAATTATTACTATAACTTTCAACTCGCTTACTGTTATTAAGGCACTTAGGTGCCTGTTGAATTTTGCCACTAGTTGGATGCTTATAATTTAATATTTTATTTTTATAGGTACCAGTCAATCATTAGATTTTTAATCGATCTGAAACATTATTATTTAAAATTTGCTTCTAAAAGTCTTAATAATTTATAAAGCGACTATTTAGTTCATCTGATATACCTATTCACCTAATTTGTGTAGTKCCTTTCACTTTCAAGTCTCCCAGTTGTATAATGTAGATAGTTTATCTGTAACAACACTAAATAATTCAAAGAATAAATGAGTTTTTGCAATATTTAAAAAAAGTAAAAGTAAGCCTAAGAAGGTGGGAGTGCTGTTGTAAAATGTTTTATATATTTTATAATTCAGAGTAAAATTTTGGTAGGTATATATAACAGCATATCTACTACTTATCCTAATAGTTGTAGAAAGCTTTAATTGTAACTTATAAAATTACGGTTACTTATCCGTTATAATATTGTAGTCGTCATTATGCTTTTTGTTGTAAAATATAACCCATAGTAATGTTCTATTTCTTTATCTCATATTGAGTTTAAAGGCCCTTGAACTTTGTACATTTGATGAATATTATATGGTGTAGGCAGGTAAAACAACATTATTAAAAGGGTTATTAAATATAATACAATGTTTTTAGTTTAAAATTTTTAAATATTGATTAAATTAAAATATAGTCTGATTATTAAATGGAATACAAATTATACKACATAAATTAGATAAAGAAGCTGATGTTGAAAGACTCCAATTTAATTGTTATAAATTTAAAGATTATAATAAATTAATAAATAATATTATATACCTATTCGTTATTAGTTTTTTTAAAATAATTTTAAAATTTTCTTAATTATATTTTTTAGTATGTTTTATAACTTTWATCAACAATGAGTAACAAGTAGTGGTAGGCATATCCGGATTTAAAAAATCAGAATTATTCAGATTTTTCAAATTGGATTTAGTGAGTCCGGATTTTACGGATTATCCAGAGTATCCGAATAATTCAACTCGATTTGGCTGTTCAATGACTCATTTTTATATACTAATAATGTTTTAATTTTATAACATAGGTATACCAAATTTTGAACGCATTTTAAGTACCGGTGATATCATAAAACTTGGATCATATTAATTTACTGTTAAATTTTCATCATAATAAAATAAAATWATTTATTTTACCAGACATTAAAAATAATTGTATGTCTTAAGTAACATAAAATACAAATCCATAAATCCTGATAATTCTGGAAATCCTGAATTGAATATCCAGATATTCAGATATTCGTATTTCATGCCCATCCCTAGTAACAAGTTAACTAATTATTTCATTTATATAATCTATTCAAACTTTTTTCTAGCCATGAAAAAGTATAAACCTACTGATGCTACCACAAACCCAAGTCTTATTCTAGCTGCAGCCAAAATGCCTCAGTACAAAGATTTGATATCAAAAGCTCTGAAATTAGCGGTTGCAAATGGAAAGTTAGTATGAATTCTACATTTATCAGTTTTTTTTTTTGTAGATTCAATAGACAATTTAAATTAAACTGTAACATATTATTCAATCATTTCAAACTTGAAAACAAGTTAAGCAATCTTAAGTGTAATACAAAATATATAATATACATGTAAATGCAATACATCACATTAAAAAAAACTATAAATTAAATTAATAACAAACAGCATAATTATAATATTAAGAAAACACCACGCGGATATTTGTTTTCTCCTTGTTACAAACGTACTGCAGAAAATTTTACATTCACGATAATATATTTTACTCTGTGATTTCTAAAATTAGAGTAAATTTACCTCACATAAAATGTAAAAGCTAGAATATATTTATTATTTTTATGTAGCTTATGACCATTTTTAAGTTTTTTTTTTGTATACATTTTAAAACTATCATAACTTACTTAAAAATAACAATATCAATAAAATCCTACATGATTCCCTGGATAATATTCTTGCCTTTAGATTTAATAAAAGGTAAATTCACTCTAATTTTAAAAATTACAGAGTTAAATGTATTATTGTGAATACCTATGTTGTGTCTTCTTAAAGGAATAGGAAGTGCTGATTTTTCTGTCTTTATTTATCACACATGCAACATACAACATTAAATGTGTTATTTTCCAACATACCAATTTATCTAGTGAAGTGATAAGATTTCTGAAAACAGATTTAATACACAGCAGTGTATTTGAGATAATCTCTTCAGCATTTTTGATTTAAAATTTTTTTTGTCTGTACAATTTCTAAACCAAAAATATGGTAAAATTGATCGTAAGTTGTCTTGACAAATATTTCTAATATTTTTTTTCAGAATTCTCATCTCTTTATTAGAT